TTCGATACTGTTTCTCACCACTTTTTGTTTATTTATAAGTTCGCTTATAAAGTGATAAATATATTGCAAACTGATACATACTCTAGTGCTCGGGTGAATGGGCACACAACATCGAGATTTCGTGTAGAAAGGGAATGTAGGCAAGGAGATCCACTTTCGCCATACTTGTTTTTGTTAAGCGGAAACTTTTTTTTTTTTTGGGGGGGGGGGGGGCGGAGTCCAAAAATAAATCGCAACGACTCAGTCAGCCGAAAAGTCGCTCGGTGGGGGGGGGGGGGGGGTAATGACATTTACAAGATTACGTGATTCGCGGTTCGAATGATAAATATGATTACACGAGCACCTGTAATCATGGTTACACAATTACAAGATTATCATAATTTCACGATCACATGATAATCTCATTTTTATCTCATTTTATCTCATTTATAAAGCGCCGGTATCCGTCAGGTTCTGTCGCTCATGGCGCTTTACAATCTAAAAAACTAAATGGCAGTCACTTCATCATTTCTTTGTATGAACAACAAGGAGAGAAGTGTTAAAGTATTTTGTTTAATTTGACTTTAAGAAGGACTACATTTCATTGATTTGTAATTTATACGATTACATGGTAAGCATGACTACATGTAATTACATTGTTACTGTAATTATTGGTCAAAGTATATACTAAAATCATAATGCATTAAGACGCAATGTTGTAAAAGTAAAAGCAATGTCTTTATTTAAATTCTGTGTATCAATATAGCATATTTGTTTTTCTTTTGACATGTCTATATTTTAATTCTATTCACTTTTATTTAACAACAGCAATTCAGCAATACCATTTATGCAATGATATCTACATGTACAAAAATATAACTATTGGTTGGTAGAATGGGCCAAATAATAGCACACGTGCTAGTCGAGCCTATCCCCTTAATACAGCTAAACAAGTAATTTGGTACAAGTAAAGTTAAGAAAACTAAACAATTCACAAATTTTGATTTTACTATTACAATCGATACTTAGACAATTTTAAGAATACTTAACAAAATCTTACAATATGCAATCTGATAACATGAAATATAATTTGTGTACATAAACAGACTATTTACATGGTTTTTTTTATTCATGATTCGTTCAACTGCAGTTTTGTAACGGAATTCCCAAACCTTTTCTAAACCTCGTTAATCTGACATTAATAGGTAATCTATTCCAAAATTCACTGCCAACAAAAGACAATGGAAATTTATTTCGTGTTGTTCTAAATTTTGAAAGACGTAATTATCCACATTTCAAATTCATTAAAACTACAGTGTGACGAGAAAAAATTATTTTCATTTCAGCTCTGTGTCAATATAAAAAAACAACATAATATATAAGGCAGTACATGTTATTGTAATGTTCGCATATTTTGCAAAGTGAGGGACAGTGATATTGAAATGTTTTCTAGGTTGACCTTATTAAAGTCTTAGTTGTTGTTGTTAGTAATAGTTTAATGGCATTCATTCAGTATTGAATACATACGCAATATCTTCCGTTTTAAAAGGAAATCTGTTAACCATAAATAAAACTGAAAATAAACATTTGTAATGATATAATTAATTAACCAGTATTGCAATTTATTAGGAGTCTCTGGATGGTTTGCAACTTCGTATTTCTGCTTTTTATATACGTTTAATCTGGTCAGCACAGGTTCGGTTGCATGGAAATCTAGCTTTGCTCGATTTGAAACAGGCTTCTCGGCTACTCGGTGGGCGTGCGCAGTGATCTTTTTATTTTGTAACGCACGGTGCCTAGACCACTCAGACACACAGAAATACTAAATTGAGACACATCGTATGGGGGCGCTCCTAACCGAAATTCCAATCCATCTTAGTAAACTGTTATATACATGAATGTATATTTATTCTTCTTTTCACATTATCACTATTTGTAAGCAAATATTTAGGTCTTTGCTATCGGTATCAGAGGATACGATTTTTCATCATGAATTAATATTACTTCTTAATATTCTATTATTTAAGTTCATGGCTGAGTGAATTTATGAAAATAATGTCATTAGAATTAGATTAGAGTCTCCGTTATTTCAATATCTTAAAATATAGAAACAAAGTACAAGCCCCCTTCTCACCAATCACCACCGTGATATGCATAATATATCTGCTTGAATACATTTATTAAACAAACATATATCATACATAATGGAAATAGTACTGCTATACAAAAAGATAGATTCCGACGAAACCAATAGGTGCTCTGCTATGCTACGCGGTAGATCACCTAACAAGACAATTAATTCATAATCGGAAGCATCTTTATTAAAGACTAACTCCATCCCATGCTTCAGTAAGCAAGTAATAGTTTGAATAGGTGATAAACTTCAACCGGTCGGATCATAACCTGTCAATTTCAATAGATATACATGCATTTCGAAATCAAAAGGTAAGGTAACAAAAGGGGATTTTGAAACCCAAAATCTCGTCTTTGCATTGAAAGGTTAAAAATAGCGCAACAATGTTTATTTAGGAAGACAGGTCACGTATTGAACAGCGAGACAGGAATTAGGAAGTGTATTTGTGTTAACATAGTCGTAGTAGAAATTGCCGTACATTATATGTCATGTTCATGAATAGTGAATCTGAAGAAGAGGTATTCAAATACAACGCATCTTCTAAATATGAACAAACAATAAATCTAAATACACATGACATACAACATTATAATATACATATATATGTATATGCATATACATAATATATGTGTGACTATTTTTCTTACTATTATGACATATTGAAAAGATTTTACAGAACGTTCATATTCCAATCCATCTGTAATTAATCGCAGCCTGTTGCTAGTTGTATTATTCAAACTATTTAACGGATACAAATATACCGTTTATTGGTTCAAAGATTAAATGGTTATGAAATATGGTCATGTATATAAATGAAAATGCTTGATCAAGAAATAAATGTAGGTTGTTTTTAAGCAACAATCCGTTGCTCCCAGTATAACATAATCCATATTCACAGTATAAGAACATTATGTTCCATACAAACTTAGGTTCGTATTAAGTCTATCTGCAAGGAAAATTACAACTTGGCACCTGCCCCCGGACACGAACCGTAGGACAATTTACCTCCGACAACTACCCCGCCCCCAGGACAATGACATGTACCCTATAACACCCGGGCAAACTACCACCTGAATGGAAATAAGCTAAGGTTATTCCATTGTTTAAGAGTGGGGAGAGATCAGACTTGAATAATTATAGGCCCTTGATCTTCATAATGACAGGTATTATGAAGATCATGGAACAGTCAGTACATAATCAATTGCAAGAATATCTAACAGAAAATAATGTTCTCTCTCCGAATCAATCAGGCTTTCGTAAAGGTCATAGTACCCATACTGTTTTAACCTATTTCTCTGACTATATTTATAGACAAATGGATGAGGGTCACATGACAGGCGCGGTCGTCATAGACCTGCGCAAGGCTTTCGACTCTGTAGATTGTAAAATACTGTTAGAAAAGCTTTGTAAGTACGGTATACTGGGTCAAGAAATTAATTGGTTCATGGAAAACTTGAGTGATCGGAAATAAAAAGTTGTACTTGAAAAATTTGAATCAGATTGGGGTACGACTGTGTCAGGCGTATCGCAAGGCGCCAATTTAGGCCCGCTATTGTATACTGTCATGATGAATGATCTTCCTATTAAAGGTAGTATCCAAATGCCAAGTAATGTTATATGCAGACGATGCTGTACTGTTGTTAGTAGTCAAAGAAGTGAGGACATTGAATCGGCCTTGAAATTTGATTTAAAACTAGTTTATGTATGGTAAAAGAAAACAATCTGGCATTAAACCACAAAAAACTAAATTTATGATATTTGGTTCACAAAAAAGATTGGCTTGAAACTTGAAAAATCAATTTGCATTCAGCTCGAGCAACACCAAATCTCTCAGGTTTACACCTAAGATAACTTAGGAGTCTGGCTAGATCCAATATTGAGCTGGAAAGAACACGTGACAAAAACAAGTGAAAAGATAGGGTCAATGATAGCATTACTTGGTCGTCAAAAAAGATACCTACCTTCGGAGGGACTGAAGCTTTTGCCAATGCATTAATTTTGCCTTTATCTGAATATTGTTGTAATACATGGCCTAATTGTTCACAGGATGTCCGAGATATAATCATTAAACAACACAAGAAAATGGCCAGAGTAATCTGGGGAGCCAATGTAAAATCCCAACTCAAGAAAATTTGAATAAACTCAAGTGCGTAAGCATTCAAAGTAGGTGGAATTATTTCAAATGTAAAATGATTTATTCTGTTTTTGGAAATCAAACTCCTGTCTTTATTTGACAAATGTTTCAAAAAACCCATTCTGTACAAAACATTAGAACGCGCAGTGCACAAACGCAGGATTAATTTTACCAAAAATAAATACCCAGATGGGAAAACAAGTTTTTCATTTGATGGTGCGGCTTTTTGGAATAGTTTACCTAATTTTATAAGAAATGCGCCATCAAAATCTTCATTTACTCTTTTGTTTTGGCGTTATAATAATCTTAATCAATAGAACTGGTCCATTGCGTTGTTTTTGTTCCTTTTCTTTTGTTCGAAAATGTTTTACTGAATTCATTTTGTCTCGATTTGGATTGTTTACATCGTCCATGACCTAGCATCGTTTTTTTTTACATTCATGAATGAACCTGTATTCAATCAGCAGCTGTATGAGATTTATTGTATTATTTCCAACGCTCCTCCTTCTCCTTCTTCTCTCCCCTTTCCTTTTCTTCTCTGCAAGTCACTCTTTTTTATTTTTATTTGTATTGTTGTATCTAAGTTGAGGGCTGCCGGCACGTCAAGCTACTTTGCTTATTACTGTAGCCCTCCTGCATCTAATGTATGTTAATTTCCATTCAATATATTTGTTTAAATTCAATATATGTGTTTAATATCGTTTATTATCTGTATAAAAATTATATACACTTGAAATATTGTATCAAGCCATATTATGTTCATGAAAATGTATGATGAAAAAAAGAAAAAAGATGCAGAAACCAATAAATCAAACCCATCAATCAAACCAATATTTGTAAAAAAGATGTTATCCAAAATTCAATTGATTACAATATTCCTAGCACAGTACAGATAGTAGACCTGTATCTTTTGAATATAATAAGCTATATAAAAGTAATGTTTTTTTTCCAGTTACTTTTGCCAATGTTTAGTATCATTTAAGTAAGACGTTATGTTAGATTTTGTATTGCTTTCGAAGAAGAATAACCGAATTAATCCATTGATGTTCTTATCTGTGAATGAAAATCAAGACAACAGAAAATTGCTGACGAGCATACTATGATTTTCTGAAGCTTCCAATTGTCTTACATTGGGGTCAGTACATTTTCGTAATCAACACCCTCATTTATTTCGTTTGCAGACTGCGAAACATTCTGGTTCTCATAAATCAGGTTTGATGATGGTAGACGTCTTTCTCCTGGTTTTTTGGACGAAGCCGTCGAGGTGATAGCCATCTCCTGGTATGTCGTGTCTGCATCGGGTCTGGGTCCTAGATCCATGTAAGGATCTGGTCCGTTCTCTTCAGTCCTGGTTGGTACTTTGCGTCTGTTACAGAACAAAAAACAAAATCGCAAAAATCAACTTTATTGATCGATTTGAAGAGTCGTAGAGATTGATCAATAAAGTTCTTAGAAGATATAAACTTCATCTATAAAGAATGACCCAAATTTGCATTTATTTCATGGAAAAAGGTAAAACAAAATCACAGGGGTAATAATCAAATCCTTTTAACAATTCCTTAAATTTATGATAAATACAATCCACGATATAGTAGTCTTAAACCTATACTTTATTTGAATAGAAAGTTGGATTGCTCAAAATCATTACTGATTCGAAAAATCCAATTATGTAATATCTTTACTTCTGAAAAAAAAAACTCATTTTAAAAACATCAAAAATACAAGATATTCACATTTTCTGACAAGCATTTTTATGTATAAATATTCTCATAATCAACTACCATCCCTATTTCACAACATTTAGAGTTTAAACTCAAACATTCCAACATCTCCCACACGTTGTTCAACAAGTTATCAATTAGAAAATCCTAAAATAATTTTAGCCCAAAAGTCAGTAAGACATCATGGACCAGATGTTTGGAACTCCTAACCAAATTCAATAAGACATTGTTCATCTCTCTCTATTCTTTTAAATAATGCAGTAGGCAATTATCATTGATATTAATTTTGTTGTTGCTAATTTCGTATTCTATTTCGTAGTCTTGGTTTCCTTTATTAAAAAGGCTACATTTGTTTTCACTCCGCCATGCGACCCAGAGCTACATGCACATCCAACATTAGCTACACACACATACAAACACACGCGCTTGCGCGCACATGCACACACACACACACACACACACCCACATATACACATTTTCAGATCCAAGCACTGTACTTTGCTATGTCTGGCGATAGGATCTAGTTCTGTTTGTATAAGGGTTGGTTATAAATTTAACACACAAAGAAAAACACAAATGTCATTTGTTGTCTGTATAGTTACATCTTACAAGCACACTAATAATGAAATTACCCAAAACCAACAATCAACCTGTGTTTTCCGAGACGTGTAATCTACAGGTATATCCTAGTGACAGTTAAAACAATGGAAGTAGTATCATGTGTCTTTTACCTAATAAAGCAAAATATTCCCACAATCCTACGGTGTTTCTAAGTAAAAGTATTACCCCTTTTGGTGCAGCACTGCAAGTATAACGACTTGAGCTCCCCAAAATGAATATGCCCCTTCATAGGTATAGCAAACCAAAAATAATTACAACAAACACATGTTATTTGATGGTTGCAAATGATCAAGCTTCATGAAAGCTTCAAAAAACAAAAAACAGAATTGAAATCGGTCAATGCGTTGTGATTTTATACCTTTTTTTTGATATCGCAAAATTACCGAAAAACCTGCCAGAAATGGTCAAATCGGCAAAAATGGCATAATTCGACAAAGATGACAACTTAATTCATTACTTTCTTGGACACAAATAATAAAATAAATTATCAGACACTAAAATATCATCTTTGTGGTAAAAAATACAAAAAAGAAAATTCATATATCTATTAACGTTTTGAAAACAGAAGCCAACAAAATAAGTCATTTTTGCCATTTTTGCGAATCTGCAGATACACTGTCGCTCATAAAGGTGGAATATTTTTTTTTTAGTCCAATTTATGGAATTATTTTAAAAATAATTTAAAAATAAAAGATCTAGATAATAGTATACATTCTCAGATTTTATTGAATAATAATTTGCCAATGTGTGTTTTGCGTGACTGCTAAAGCATGTGTATGCTACTATGCTTATCAACTAGGGGACCTATGCCCTTAAGTCATAAATGACAGTAATGAGGATTAATGCCCCACTAAAGGGCACTTATATAGCACATCGACACGGTTTTGATCCAAGGGTCTCACAGTTACGAGCCCATTGCTGTGACACTGAACCATGACTGTACGCAGCGGGGGCTAGGGTAGGGGGCAGTTTCCATAAATGGAAAAAAAAACACAGAAAATGCCATAAATTTTCAATAATTTATTGCATTTAACCCCGGTGCCTAACATAACAAAAATTATGTGTGCCCATGCCTTGAGCCATAATGCATGGCCGTCCAGAGGATTTTTTATGTTGGGGACCGGGGTAAAATGCAATAAATTTTTGAAAATTTATTGCATTTTCTGTGTTTATTTTTATTTATGGAAACTGCCCCCTACCCTAGCCCCCGCTGCGTACAGTCATGGTTCAGTGACAAAACAATGGCCTCGTAACTGTCAGGCCCCAGGATCAAAACCGTGTCGATGTGCTATATTAGTGCCCTTTTGTGGGGCATTAATCCTCATTACTGTCATTTATGACTTGAGAGCGTAGGTCCCCTAGTTAATATGCATAGTAGCATACACATGCTTTAGCAGTTCCGCAAAACACACATTGGCAAGTTATTATTCAATAAAATCTGAGAATGTATACTATTATCTATATCTATTATTTTTAAATAATTTTTTAAATAATTCCATGAATTGGGGTAAAACTAAAATATTCCACCTTTATGAGCGACAGTGTATAAAAAAGTTGTGAAAATAACCAAGTCCGCCTAATTAATATGCGCATATCTAATCAAATCAAAACTGAACATGATACATCAGTGAAACCTATGTATATCAGACAGGTATGGAAATTTATTAAAAAAAATCATTAATATTCATCAATATGCAAATTAGGTCATTTCAGCTAATTTTATATTCGCGCACTCATTATGCAAATTAGGAAAGTCAAATGGTTCATTTTTGGGGCATTTGTAAAATCATATATTCATAGATCATATTTACACCAAATATTAACCTTAAATTCCAAATATTTTTGCAATGCCAATAAAATATGGCGATGGAAATTACTTGGATCACCGTCACAGCTATTTCCTCATGTGTTTCACAAATTATTCAGAAAAAAACGATCATATGATAAGAATTTGTAGACTTTCAGCTACATCACAGTATATTTGCCTATTTAAAAGATGTCAGATTTGAGGATTTTTGACGATTTTCCGAGAAACCATTCAACAGGCCATAACATTCCACAGGGACTGAATTTCTGAGTAGCACTTTGGTGACCCTTGGTGACCCCAGTGCAGTTGTGGCTAACTTGAGTGTAAAAAAACAAATTGATTCAATGAGTGAAACGCATGAGGATATTGCATTTTTGTAGGGGAGTTTTATACATTGAGGTGCATTTTTAAGCCACGTAGAATAGCAGCGCGAGTCAATGGGCGATCAGCGGGCCATGTCATACATGGGTGAAAAGACAATATTCTAATTAAATAATTAACATATTTCCCACATGCCTATAACAATGAAACTACACAGAATTATAGTTAAAGGTATGCTTGAAATATATGTGAAATAAACATTTAAAAATATTGTTTAATTTTTTAAAAATACATTTACACAAATTGCTATTTCTACCAACTGACTGCTTTTGTCTGTGTGTGTTCGCGGGGCAGACTGTTTGCACAGGCATTGTGTTCACCCTACCCTTAATCATTCACGGAAAAGAGGTACAAATCTAAATGCTTCCACATTAGTGATATCTGCCAATTAAATGTTCCATATATAACTGATACTCAACACCGTCCGTTTGAAGTCTCATGTAGTTTGTCTGACATGCTGACGTCTCGTCTAACCCCTCGTACGTAGACTCGCGACAGATTATCCGCGGGTATCCAAATTCTACGCAATCGTACATTTTCAATAGTGTTGGAAGTCCATTAATTTATCTATTCTATTTTTCTTATATAATTCCACTATGTAAAAACGATTTATGTCCGTGTTTCCACAAGAATATGTCATTGTACATTTGCTACTGTATATTATCTATTTGTGTATATTCTTTTCTATTATATATTGTTCATGTGCCTATGTAATGCCAACAAATGAATTTCCAAATGGACCAATAAAATTAATCTGAATCTGAATCTGAATCTGTATCCGATATGACGTTCGTCTGTAGCGATGCTGTACTGGACAAAGTAGTAACCGTAGCAAAAATTTTGAACCCTCTAACCGCCTCAGCGAGTAGCCGTACTCCAAAGTTGAGATCCGCTGATTGAATCATCGTAGAGAGCCGTGTAACGAGTTCTCAGAAGTTGGAATTCACCCTGAAGTCACAAATCGTCTAGTAGACGTATATTAGCCCAGCTCGTCTGTGACTGCTGTTAAAACAATACATGCAACCCAATGGTCATAGCATACATGTAAATCCAATATATAAAATATAATCATACATTATACAAACATGGCTGCATATATCTGAAAATATATCCTTATTAACATCTTCCTACCTACCACTGAAACGACAATGATATCCAAATAAGTGGATCAGGAAACACACTCAAAATGGTAATGCTATACATCAACATAATCCTCTGTATTTCATACGCAAGATGTAATACTTATCAAGGCTATTAAAGCGCTATGCAAACTACATCCCGTTTTAGCAGGGAAAATATCATAAAACATCTTCAATTACAATTACTAATTTCTGATAAATAAATGCATGAGAATTTGGTAAAGTACATATCTTCCTTTCCATTTTACAAAAGAAAAACCCCAATATAACTGCTTCTTTTATCCTACTTAAAAATGCTCCAATAAATGATGGATTCCAATGTTTTGCTGACACAATTCTAAAATGCTTTACTTTCTCATAATACACTTAACCCCTATTGCTTATATAGCGTTTCCCTACCTATGCCACGCCCTATATTGTGAAACTTCCATACACAAGAAAACATTGATAAAGATATGAAAAAGAATATAACAAATGTCACTTACAGGTTTCAAAGACGATTTAGGAGCTGCTGAGGAGTCTTCTCCTGGCCTGCTTGCCCTGATTTCCAAGATGGCACCAAAATTAGATAATTGCTGCGCATCCTAGCTTAGCTCATGCCTTGGCCAGTGCTAAATTCGTTCTCAACTGCAACTAACTCATGCACCCTACACTTGACATAGTACACGTATAGCTTCTTGCCTAAGGTATCCCTGAAAACACACATCACACACATAGCTCTCCTATTAAAAAGCACACATCACACTCATAGCTCTCCACTTAAAATGCCAAACCTATGTAATAGTTCTAGAGTAAATCAGTAAAATCCCGGCAAAATTCAAGTTACCGGGAAAATAGTTCAATCTTTCTGAAATACCCATTGGTTCACGTGTTAAATTCTGGTTTGAGCGAGCGCGGATACCATACATTGTGTGTGAGCGAATTGGTCGCTAGCTTAATTTTTAGATTTTTTAATAAGACGACCAGCGATGTCGATCGTAGTTTCGTACTACTAAATCCGGCCTAGATTCTACTTATAGTTTCCAAACAAGACGAAAGTGGCTAAAGAAAATCTTTCTAGATTTCAACTTCTTGATGATGATCAATTGCAAGACATAATTAATTTTGCTGACAGCAAGAACACCAAAAGGGTACGTGAAATTCTCCATAAAAAGATTATAGGTCTAGATCTAGGCTACCTGCAAGTTATCAACAGAGAGCTCGATAGCGTAAACAAACTTCTAAATTTGGAGCTGGACAACGTAGATCTAGGCCAATGGTTACTATTAGATTCGGATTTCCTCAATTCTAACAACGTCGACGCCATAAATTAAGCATGAAGATTTTTCCAATTCGACGAGAGTATTTAAGTGTTTTTCAGCAATGCTTAAACAAGAAGGAAAGGGAGTTGTGACTGACAAACCAGCTATCTCAGCAGAAGACATTGACAAAATCCAAGGTTCGCTTGATTTGGTTGATCCTTTACGTCTTCAGGACAAGGTATTTATTGATTTTATGACACTCAACAGCTTCGAAATTTGTGAGGAATTAGGCCTAGACTAGTAGGAGGAAAATGCTACATAGATTCCTAGAGCTAGGCTCGATCTAGACTAGTCTAACTATCAAAGATACACTCATAAATAACAACTGTGCAGATTAACTAGACAAAAGCCAAGGTGGTGTCATAAGTTGACTATTTTTTTCAGTATATACAAGTAATAATGACTGCTTTAATTTTCGAGAAATAGTTGTTTTTATACGCCCTCGGGCAATAGCACGATTGTAACCTCCCCTTGGAGCGTATAAAACAACTATTTCTCTAAAAGCAGTCATTATTACTATACTATTCCCTGGGCTAAATACGAGTTACTTTGTGACACACACAAATACACAATATACACTCATACGACACACTCACAAACTCATACACATGATCGTTTAAACACTTTTTCATTTTAAGTTTTACCTTAAGATTTTTTTTTCGAGGCCGCCATTCTAGTCAAGCATCGCTTAGTATGATTGCGGTCTCCTGCACTTTTTCAACAGATAGTTTGGATAATACTTTAATGTTATAATATTATGTTATATAAATATTAAGTTTCGTTATAATGTGGATTCAAAGGTCAAACAACCTTTATGAATATTAACTGAATTATCTTGTTACAAGTAGTAAGGTATATAACCCTCAAAAGCTCATTCTTTGTTATCGTGCATATTGTCTAGGAGACAGCTCTTTAATGGTAGTATTTTTCTGCAGTAAATACATTTCGTCTATGTATAACTTGTAAAAGGTGAAATACAGGGCTGAAATAAATTGCATAAACCTGAAATACCTGAGCTGAATGAGCAAGAAAGTAATAGTAACTGCGTACAGCAACAGGGCTACCACGACTACAATCAGGCCAATTAGCACTCCTGGAAAAAGAAGGAAAACAAAATCAAATATGTAAGAATAGATTACGGCTTCCCTCCAGTTCTCACAGGAGAATGTTGCATTTCTGCTCTAAATCAGGTATGATGTATAATAATTACAAAAAACATTACGTTTCATTTCAATGTGCCCAGTCGCTCAAGTTGGCCACTTAAAAGTGACTGAACAGGGGGCGAATTATTTGTTGGCTACAGCTCTTTAGACAGACAACCCATGAGACAGACTATATCGGTCTTGCGGGCCTTTGGACAACTTTTTTTAAAGGGTTCACTCCACGAGACCGTATTGCGTTATCTTAACTTAAATAATATGTAAATATTTACTATTATTATTGTATGATTGTTATTAGGAATTTGTTATTATAAATATGTATCATGTATTATATTGTTGTAATTTGTATGTTAACATTACTTTAATTTTATTTTTGTTAAGCGCTTAGAAACTTTGTATTAGCGCTATATAAATGTAATTTATTATTATTATTATTATTTCTTTCTTTTGTTGGTCTTTCAGCTTGTGGGCTGTCGGTCTACCAGGATGATAAACCATGAGTGCCTTTAGAAAAAATCAAACAGACTTTCCATAGATGTTCATGAACCCAACCTTAATGTCCGATACTTCCTTAAATTGCGAAATCCTCATTCCCTGTATTAAACCCCAATCGGAGAGCATGAAGTCATGCCCTGAGCTTTGGATTAAGTAAATAACTTGGGGAAAGAACACAAGTGGAGGATACGACCGTATTTAACTTTATGAAGACATCATATCTCTGGTTACGACCAATGAAAGACGGGCACGAACGACACATGTATATATTTTAGGCCTATGGATAAACGATGAAAGTAGGTTTTTTTTAAGCTAAACAAGGTAACTTAATACAGTTGTAAAAAGAAAAAGAGAGGTAATTATTAATTATGTCATATTTACCCAGGGTAGCCATTTCAGTATCAATAGTACTATCCATGTTGACCCTGCAATCAATGACAGGTACACATTTACACCTGAACAATAGGGCAATTTAGGGGTACTGCTTCCAGGTCCCCAGCAGGGTTAGGTATCCCATTTCTTCAAATAGAATGATTCCTAAAATATTTAGCTAGAATCCATACTAGCGATTTAATACGAATACTTTTTACCCCTCACCATCAGAATATGAAATTAAAAGTCGAGGGTAACTAAGCATTTGAAGAGATATCCTTGATTAAAATGGAACAATTTAAACAAAATAAAAAAATTCAACAGTTTTCAAGAGCGTTTGACTCAGGTGAGCAATTAATGAAGAAGAAGAAGAAGATGGAAAAAGGTGGCCCAACTACAGTAACAGTGGATGCTGGGGCACGTTAAGGGACGAGTGGGGGGGGGGGGAGGGAGAGGTTAATAACATTAAAATGAAAGAAGAAACAAAAATAGAGTAAGGAAAAGGAAGAAGATACACTGACCAGCAAAGAAGATCCCCTGAAGCATTGCCCGCACTCTTACCCCGTCAAAAGACTTCCCTCCCCCTGTTCCAAAAACCCTAAATGGATAGACTCACTCAACGCCCCCTGTCCTGCTGATGTACAGAAAATGAGGGCTTATTCAAAGAATATAAAAACAGAAGAAACTCACATGCAGGTAACATTATCAGAGCCGGGCTCGACCCTTACACATGTATCTCCATTACCACAAGGATTGTCCAATGAACATGGATCAGTCAGCAGCTCAAAACCTGTGGATAAAAATGATTAAAAACGTTTGCCTTCCTTCATGAAATGTTAGCAATGTATACCCTGTACTTGTTAGAGCAATGTGATATGCGATATCTCAGTGGTAGAGCAGTGGTCTCGTAGCCAGGAAGACCCGGGTTCGAAATCAAGTCGATGTGCTATTCCCCTTCGGTTAAGCATTAGTCCTCATAACCAAGTCCGTCAGAGAGGACTTCATTCCGTTGGTCCCTGGTCGCTTATTTACAAGCATACTTACTTAGCAGTCAGGTAAAACAAATAAACAAACCTCAAATATATTAGAAGAATAAAACCTATGTTGGCTTATGCGCAATAAATGAAGCCTGTCTGTGAATTATTATCTCATCGATTTAACCCTAATAAGGCCGGGCTATTTGAAGTCTTACTACGGCCAGGGGGGGGGGGGGGGCCATTATGGCCCCCCCTAAGATCTCGGCCGTGAAACGGCTGATCTTTGCGAAAATTTGCACGCATGTCAAGTGAAGTGTATAGAACAATATGATAATTTCAATTTTTTGAAAAAAATCCCTCATTTGCATATTTATGGTAATTTATGCAAATAACGTCATAAAATCACACTTTTACCCATAAATCCTATATTATTCATATTTAAGCATTCTTTTTCACTACATATATTCATTAGACCGTTTGGAACAATAATATGACAAAAAAATTGGAAGAGCCAGCTTATTGCTTATGTTATCTCTTGTTTTGATAATTTCTTATGTATTTCATTGTTTTTTTTAACTTATTTATGTTATTGTTTTTTTTCTTTTCATTTCTTCCTACAATTCAACTATTTTGACTCCCAAAACAACCACCTAAACTTTAAACAAGACCCAATAACCAATGTTTGATCTATTTTTAGGAAAAATGACATTTCCATATGTTTTGTACACAAATCACAAAAATGAGCGATTTTCGGGCTGACATGCAAAGACAAAAGGTCACGTGACCTTGTAACTATAGGTCCGTTTTTTTTTTTTTTTTTTTAAAAGATGCGCAAGACTCTAAAGAAAAAAGTCAGCGAGCGGCGAGGCGCCATCCATATGCGTTCTCGAACAATCAGAAAAATCGTGGAGGGGGGGGGGGCCATAATGGCCCCCCCAGCCTTATTAGGGTTAAGTGCACCCAGTACCACAGAAATATGAATGTGTTTTCCTAATTCGATCAAATAGCAATAACTAAACCATCACCCCACCCCCTCCCCCGCCGGATAGTGGAGAATGTGCGGACATTGTGTGCAGGTAAGCCTGGATCCGATGACTAATGTTATAATGTTTATGTGAAGTGCTTTATTCGGAATAAAAATAATGATGATGATGATAATAATAATAACAATAACAATAATGGAAATAATAATTATAATTGTAAAAATAATAATGATAATGATGATAATGATAACGATCATAATCATCATCATACAAATAATAATTATGATTATTATAACAACAATAATAAAACAATATTATTCATAACAATAATAAGAATAATAAAAAAGAGGTCCGCGGATCATAAGTTGGAGCTTCACAAAGAGGGACCTCGCTACCATCCACTTTACACCTGGATCATTAGGGCGATTTAGAGGTACTGCTTCCAGGTCTCGGCAGGGTTAGGTATCCCATTTCTTCACATAGAATGATTCCTATAATATTTAGCCAGAATCCATTCTAACGATTTAATACGAATACTTTTTACCCCTTACAATCAGAATATGAAAGAAAAAGTCGAGGGTAACTAGGCATTTGAGAGATATCCTTGATTAAAATGGAACAATTTAAACAAAATAACAAAATTCAACAGATTTCAAGAGTGTTCTGCTCAGGTGAGCAATTAATGAAGAAGGAGAAGAAGAAGGAAGAGGAGAAGAAAAAGGAGGAGAAGAAAAATATATGTTTGTTACAGCACATATATCCACCATCCAAGGGCTCAAGGCGCTCAAATATCATCCCGGCTACCGATTCCAGGGCCAACAGCAGTCAATAAGTCCTACCTATCGGACCCATTTAACACCTGGGTGGAGAGTGGCGAATGTAGTAATGCAGCTGCATTACTCACTTTGAACGTCGACTCCAGGTATGTTGTTGATAGAGGCTATCACGAGTAATCTCAACTGTTGAATCGTGATGTCACTCCCAAAGATCAAGTCTAGCCTGATTCTTGCTGTGATGAGATCAATGGTGTCATTATTCGCTGAAATGGCTCTTCCATTTACACTAATTACTTCTGGAAGACTGTCGACAGCAATCACGATCTAAAGAAAAAAAATCAGTTTAGTGACGCAGTTATTCATTTTTCACAGCATCATCGCTTCAAAGTCCCCGGGAGGGGCAGGTATCCCATTCAAACAAATTTAGGTCTCATTCACATGATTATTTTTGCGCAATTGCGAACACTATCCAATTAAGGTATCATTAACAAATACATTTATAATAGGCTATTTTCGTTATGTAATCAAATGTATGCATAAATGCCTTCGTGAAGCGCCTCACTACCAATTATTTCATTCACCTGTTACGAATAAATGTATCTCAATAGTCAGAATTAAAATCGCACATATTAACTGTTGCTAGGTAGGACACACCTTTTAACTTTCCTAACCTAACAACACGTAATATATGCAATTTGCATTCTAATAGTGACTATTGAAATACAATAATGTTTAACAGGTGAATGAAATTATTCGTATCGAGGCACTTAGGAATACATTTGGTTACATTACAACCCAGACAAAACGGACTAACATACTTTTATATGAAAAGATGATGACAAATTTTGACAAATATGGTTGATGGGGTTTAATTTTAAGGTGCATTTTATGACGTATTTTAGGAGTTCAATGTGTCCAGTAACCCTTTCACGGAAACTGTGGTTTGAAAAATTCGTATTATTTCATGTTTGTGTTTGAAAATTCAGTAAAGGTGAAGACCAGTATTGGAAACGCCCCAATTTCAAAAAATGAAATGGAAGCTCTCATTACCAATCATGTGAAAGAATATGTTTTGACTAATACATGATGATAACAATTTGTCGGGAAACCGCCTACTAATTCATATATTTGGTAAATTTGTTTCTCTCATGGTTTGTGAGAGATATAGGGTAGTCCCATATACATCTTTCTGTGTATAGTGCTTGTAACTTTACGAAGAATGGGCCAAATTTCTTATCATTTTGATGATTCCAGAACCTTGCAGATCCTAGATGCTAGATGATCAACCTATTCTGATCGATTCCACAACGTTTCTTTCACAATGCAATCGCTTGACCATAACTGGTCTTTACCTTTAAAAGCGCTTGATAAAAAGGACACATGTTGATGGAATGCTTTGTTTGTATTCAATCTGACGTGTAAAAACAGCTTTACCAAATCTCATAATTTCTGAAACTACACAATGGTACGTTATTTTTCTGTAAGGAGCACTGCCAATTGATGTCTCAACATTGTTTCATTAACATGGGGCTGGAATTTAAAAAAAATACAAAATACTCAACCAATTTTGGCAAATTTTGTATAATTATTCTTCTGAACAGAATTCCCCATTTTCTGGTACTGGTTTGTTTGTTTGAATAAAAGTTAATGATTAAATGAATAAAGATATAAATAAATACATACGTAATACTTAAATAAATAAATGAATAATGGAATAAATAATTAAGTAATACTTTAATTTATTAACAAATAAGTGAATAAATAAATAGATAAATAGAGATAAAATAAATGAAAATATAAATAAATGAATGAATAGAAACATAGATATTTGTGAATACAAATTTGTTAAAACCGATTGGTCCTAACGCAATGGTAGGGTCAGGTTTATGGTTAGATTAAGGGTTAGGTTCGAAATGTCATGTTTATGTTTGCATATTGCTAACCGATCATGACCGATTCTGGTTTACACAGTACTATCTAGAATAAGTAAAATAGTAAACTTTAAACTGTACCAATAACCAAAACGTACTTTATTCTGTGTGTTAGTAATAACATGTGGCTATACTACGTTTAAAATAAAACCTTTAATATAACTTACAGTATGTAAACAGATACTGCATATTTGAATACACTCTCAATTCAAATAAACACGACTGGTGAGTACTGTACTACTCGACACACCTATACACACTCCCATGGAATAGGACCCACACGAAACCAAAGTCCGACTTGGGTTCCGTGGACTTGGTTTGATGCTATTCTGTAATTTGTTCTTGGTCCATATAATGCCGGATAAAGTTATTAAGGTATTAAGGTTGACTTTTTACATTCTAGCTGAATACAATTATTTCATCAGGTGATTGGTACACTTTGCATAGAGAGTTTCCCAAACTGAAGGTTTTATTTCAAGAAATGACCAAGGTAACACTTACTGAATCCAGCAGGTTCTGTACCTCTGGTGACCCAATGGGAACAGCTGCCCGTTTCCGTCGACCAGAAAGGATTTGGACAAGCGCATTGAACTCGTAGGCCAATGCTAGATTTTATAAACGAAGAAACACAATTTTCATTTCCTTAACACAAAAGTCCGAAGTCAATTACAAATTTGAAACAATGATATTGATTGGTTAATATAGTGGTCGACCTAATGATTATGCCATTAGCGATTCATTGCAAACCTTTGCGTTAAGTGTTAACATTATCTACAGTTCTTAGGGCCACGCATTATGGCTCAAGGCTTGGGCACACATAATTTTTTTTTATGGTGGGGACCGGGGGAATCCAATGAATTATTGATAATCTATTGCATTTTCTTTTCTTTTTTTTTATTTGCGGGAACTGCCCCCTACCCTAGCCCCGCTGCGTATAGTCATGGTTCAGTGGCAAAGCAATGACCTCGTAACTGTGAGGCCCCAGGATAAAAAACCGTGTTGATGTGCTATATTAGTGCCCTTTTGTGGGGCATTAATCCTCATTACTGTCAGGTATGACTTAAGGGCGTAGGTTCCCTAGTAGGAATAAATCATTGTCAAAATAAAAACATAAATTGGGGTAAAAAAACTATTACAACGTTATGAGCGACAGTGTAGTATTGTAAACACATTTAAAATTGCAAAGACATGATATGATTTGATATAATTTGATATAAGGTGTTGCTCGATTCCCGCCTTGTGACCATATGTACTTTCTGTAGTGTGCAATATTCTCAGTGGCAGATCCAGGGGGGGGGGGGTCGGGTCGTATAAAAACACGTTAATTTAACCTTTTTTGGAGATGCCCCCCCCCCCCGGCGCTCAGGGGGGGGGGGGGGGGGTTGAGATTTTTCAATTTTTTCGAGGACCAACACAAAAGTGTAGTGCTCACCACCCCCCGCACCCCCCCTCCCCCTTAGAAATCCTGGATCCGCGCCTGAATACTCTAATACTAAATAGACATTAACAATTGTAAACAATATCAGTAAAAGCTTATAAAAAGATCTTACTTGCGTCACCACACAAAGCTCCTGTATACCCCGCAGCACAGGTACATTCATCGTTATCACAGCTCCCCCCGTTCATGCATGGGTTTAAAGAACTGTTACAGTCAACTAAAACGAGGAAAGAAAATGTCCTTAATAAAATCAACAACGATTTTAACATTGATCATTCTCAACCGAATCTTTTCAAAAGCTCGGCATTCAAGATTGTTAAATTATAAAAAGGTTATTGATACAATTTCCGGAAGGGGTAAGTAACAATGACGATCTTGAAATGTATTCAGAGGTTGAAGTCCTGATATGAGCGTAGCATGGCCAATTTTTGTTTGTATAAAATAAACAACTAAACATGAATTTCCTTGAAAACCAATTCTTATTTGATGAATACGAAAAATTCCGATATCCTGTAGCGCATTTACATGCATCGGTACCACACCTCCCTCCGTTCATACATGGGTTGTCACTAGAACAGTCGACTACAGAGAGGAGAGAAAATATCCTTAAATTATTAACGAATTTATCGTTCTCGACGGAACAATTCCAAAAGCTTGGAATTTAAGTACAGTTTACTTAAAGCTAAAGACCTTAAGACAATATTGTTTAAATATTGCCTTCAGAGGTTAAGATGGCAATACTTCAACCTAAATTCGCAAAAAATGAAATATATACCCAAATGTTCAATGTTGAAGTGCATTTGCGATCGATATCCAGGCAGGATCGATATGATAATTTACCAAATATATCAATTAGTAGGCGTTTTCCCGCCAAAATGTGTATCTTACCGTATTTGATTTGTAGTCAAAACATATTCTTTCACAAGATTGGTAATAAGAGATTAAGATTGTCAAATTATGAATTAGGCTGACTTTTCCAATTCTGTATGTTGTTGTTTTTTTTTGGAGGGGGAAGGGGGGGGGGGCTGGGGGAGGGGGTTATAATGATGATCTTGACATGAAGATTTTCTGACGAATCTTATTGGTAATCTTCAGAAAAATTGAGACACACTTCAGTTTCCTGTTGAGCAGGTCAATCCAGTATAATTACTAGCACAGTAACGGGTATAACAATTAACATTGTCTGTACATGTCCCACCATTCGCGCAGGGATTTGAATCACAGGTGTCAATATCTGCGATGGAACTTTTGAAATTGTATTGAAAAAGACACTGGATGAAAGCCACTTTTTACAAAGACTTTTCCAAAAAATGATAGTGGGGATGATCTGCAAAGCTTAAAAACCAATCCATTACCTCTTTCATCAGGTGACAATTTTTGCTTAATCATAAGATAAATGTTAAGATAGAAATTAAAGTATGAGGAAATTTTTATTTGATGTGCAAAGAGCAATTACATAAAAAGTGTATGTATGTAGGTACGTAATCTGCTTTGACTTAATAGCTTACCTGTTTCACACCTAGTCCCAGTAAAGCCATCAACGCATTCACAAGTATAGGTGTTTAATTCATTAGTACAAACTCCTTCATTCATACACGGATCGGAAGAACAATTGTCGATATCTGTGCAAAGTGAGTTCCGAAGATAATGATTGGAATAAAAGCAATGAGAAAAATTATTTTGCGTTTAAGCAATTGATCTGCATGTAGCGGATAAAGGGACAAATTAATTCAATACTGTTTTTTTGAATTAAATCAATGACAGTGGAGAAAAGAATTATTATATTTGTAAAACTATAAATCAATAAATCAAGTGGAGTATAAAATGAACTAAATATCTCTTTTAATGTTTGAATCTTTTAGAAAATCCCGGCCTTAGAAAGAAAATATATGTTGGACAAATGTTATTGTCTCAGTAAACTTGGTGTTCCCTTAACGGAAAAAGGGTTACTAAATCAATTTTCCCTTCATCGGGGTGAAATTAATGTGAAAATGAACGCAGAAATGTCTTATACATAGTCTAAATTTCAAGTGACCTTAGCGCTAAAAGTTGAATCGGTACGATCAGGATGAAATTTACGAGCCTACACATACCCTTAAACAAATCATAGTTGATAGAGATCGTTGCGGTAATCACAATATTAAATCTGCTCTTGAAAGTATAATGCACTCCCCTTTACCATGTATCTACTCAAAAAAAAAGAGAAATGTAGTTTCTCTTATTACTGCACCAAAACGTGAAACATTCTAGCATCTTTTATCTGTACTTTCAATACTTTTGACCCTCCATAAATCTAATGGAGTATAACATGAACTAAATATCTCGGTTAATGTTCGAATCTTTCACAAAATCCCGGCCTAAGAAAGAAAACATATTTTGGAAAAATGTTATTGCCTCAGCAATCTTGGTGTTCCCTTAACCCTTAAAAGGCTGGGCTATTTGAGGTCTTAATACGGCCGGGGGGGGGGGCATTGTGGCCCTAATAAGATCTCAGCCTAGGAAGGTCCAATTAAGGTGAAAATTAGCATGGTGATAGATTGAAGTAATTGAATAAGATGGAATGTTTATTTTCTTTTATGTTTATTTGTTTATTTGTTTATTGATATTTGTATGACAATATGCAAAACAAAAATTGGAAATTTTCAAAAATGCGTGATTTTGAACAATGCATGGGCAGATTGATTTGAAATTGCTGGTTTTAATAGTTTAATAATAACATTTATCAATTGAAATATAATAGTCTCTAATACAAACATACAAATAAACGCACACACAGGTACACATATGTTTGCTACATGTTGTTTTCATATGAAACTATAGTTTCTTTTATATTTATAATTACCAATTTTTGTATGTATTCTATTGCTTTTAATTTATTATGTATTTTATTATGTAAATACAAAAATGCTTGGCCAATACTTAACAAGTATAATCATGAATGTGTTACTGCATAACATGGAATAAATCACTCATGATATTGATTTTGATAAAGTTCATATAACTGCAATATACTTACACACGCACATTTGTGAGAATTACATATTTTGATTGACTTGTGATTATATTTTGTCACCTAATACCGAACCATAGGTTCGCCCATAACAAATTTGGTATCAAATTATGCGGGAGACATGAGGGAAAAAATCCATGCGATTTCAACGCCAAAGGTTCAGGGGTTTTGATGCAGCGGCCAAAATTTGACCGGGAGGGGCATTATGGCCCCCGGCCTTATTAAGGTTAACGGAAAAACGGGTCACTAAATCAATTTTCCCTTCATCGGGATGAAATTAATGTGAACCTGAACGCAGAAATGTCTTATACATAGTCTGAATTTCAAGTGACCTTGGCGCTAAAAGTTGAATCGGTACGATCAGGATGAAATATACGAGCCTAAACATACCCTTAAACAAATCATAGTTGATAGAGATCGTTGCGGTAATCACAATATCAAATCTGCTCTTGAAAGTATAATGCACTCCCCTTTTCCATGTGTCTACTCGACATCAAGAGGAGTTTAGTTTCTCTCATTATCACACCAAAATGTGAAACACCCTCGCATCTTTTGTCTGTACTTTCAACCCTGTTGACTCTGAATTAAGAAAAATCTCCAAGCTTGCATGAACCGTACATCGGAAGTCTGTTAGTCCTGGAAAATGGCTCGCAAATTACACCCAAGAGTTGCACATAAAATTATAGGCACGTGGGAGTATTGGCGATATCAAGAATTGATATGTTCTTTCATCAGATGATTTTTTTCTTCTTCACTGGATAAGATATTTAGATCAAAATGAAACTAAAGGAAATTAACTGAAGCAAATTAAAGAAACTCTTCCTAACAAATATACGAAAGGCGCCGAAATTACGTCATTCTGCAGATATGTGATCAAAATGTCATTTTCCGCAGATGTAATATAGAACACGTATGCAGAAACAAAGGTAACTTTTGAGACAAAGTTGTACACGAAAAAGGGACAAACTTATTTTTAAAGAAGAATTTCTGGCAAATCTTATTTTGTAATCTGCAGAGAATTGAGACACGATTTAGTTACCGCATCTCGTTCCAGTATAATCAGGAGCACATGTACATGTATAAGAGCTGACACGATCATAACATGTTCCACCATTCGAACAGGGATTAGGATCACAGTCGTCAATGTCTACAATGGA